TTTAAATTGAAAGTTATTAACAATGTCAACACAAAGGTTTTATTTAGCTTTGAGATAAATTGAATTATTCATTAATGTACTTACTACCTTTTTCAATCGACTGTCATAGTAACTTTAAGTACAATAAGCCTTATTAAGTGTTCTCGATTACTAGCTTACCGAGGCCATGTTTGCGCAATAATATTGCTTAATAATATCGTTTTAGAATTTCAGCCATTCGTGACCTGTTACCACCGCCCTGCTTTACTGGTGGTAGGACCTCTTGTGAGTCCGCGCGGGTAGATACCACCACCCTACCTATTTCTGCCGTGGAGCAGTAATGCGTTTCGATTTAAAGGGCGAGGCAGCCGTTGTAACTATTCTTGAGACCTTAGAACTTATATCTCAAGGTGGGTGGCGCATTTACGTTGTAGATGTCTATGGGCTCCATAATCGCTTAACACCAGGTGGGCCGTGAACTCGTCCACCCATCTAAGTAATAAAAAAAAACCTTGAAACTTCACCAAGTTCATCTTTAGCTGAATTCAAACTGAAGAGCTTTTTCAATTGGCATAAAGGTCACGGTCCGTTACGTATTCACCAAAGCCCGTAAACACCACAGCGTCGCGTCACCTCACTCGAGATAAGGTTTAAGTGCTAATTTTATTAAAAATGTTGTACAAAATTAATCAGTAATCGATATGATTCGGTTAATAATGTTTCGAGGAAGACTAATGAAAAACGTATAATTTTTTACCTTTTTACGGTAGGCAGCGGCTTGGTTCTGCCCCTGGCATTGCTGAAGCCCATAGGCGACGATAACAGGTGGGCCATATGCTCGTCTAACCAAACGTCTAACCTCGTCTAAAAAAAAACCTATTCGCTAGTAGTCTAAGGGGCTGTTTGAGTTACGCACGGACGCGTAAATGAGCTCACGGTCTCAACCTGAGAGAATTTGCTAACACTAGCCTTAGCAAGAGCGGTGCTTCGCAGAATCTACCACCGGATTGGAATCGCGACCCACTGAGAAGATCCGACGAGAAACTCATTGATATATTTATGATCTGTATGCTTCGTGCGTGTTTTTAACATTCTCGATAGCGTAAAAGTTAACTCAAATTAATGTTTCATAGAATTGTATTGTATTTTCATTATAATAAATCTTAAGTGTGAAGCCCCTGGCGTATCATTAACATATTATATTTATCTAAACATAAGTAATAGTTTTGAACATTTATAAAGCTATCACTAATGCTAGTTATAGATATTGTTGTTTTGGCTGTATTTAAAATTATGTTCGTAACTTAAGTTCGTAAGCGGAGGCTTTGAAAGGTGGAGCAGCTCTAGAATAGAAAGCTATAGAACTGAGATTTAGTTTTAATGTCTCAAGATGAATGATGATATTTAAGTCGTTGATTTTTACATTCTGCGGTTACCATTTAACTCCAGTGTTCTTAGTGCAAGTTTAACGTTCTCGATAGCGTAAAAGTTAACTCAAATTTATATGTAGTTGGAACAGCGCCCCTAGCGGCAAACGTACCGTTTCCATACAAATTTGAGTTAACTTTTACGCTATCGAGAACGTTAAATAGCTCGCACTAAGCACACTGTTGTTTCTGCAAACGCTACGCTGCGCACACGCTGAGTACGGGAGCCCGAACGCAGCAAGGGGCCAAACCGCTGTTTGTGAAGATAATCTCACTACCCACAATCACAATGCAACAGAGAACCGATTCATATTATTACATTACACTGATTTTATAATGACACGAATTAATTAGAATAAGCACTCTTTTTAGTGTTCTTTTTGAAATGGATCTATCTATGTATGTTCACGCAAATTCACGTGTAATTATTACTTTTTTTATTTTATTGCTTGTGGTAGGACCTCTTGTGAGTCCGCGCGGGTAGGTACCACCGCCCTGCCTATTTCTGCCGTGAAGCAGTAATGCGTTTCGGTTTGAAGGGTGGAGCAGCCGTTGTAACTATACTGAGATCTTAGAACTTATATCTCAAGGTGGGTGGCGCATTTACGTTGAGGATGCTCATGGGCTCCAGTAACCACTTAACACCAGGTGGGCTGTGAGCTCGTCCATCCACCTGAGCAATAAAAAATAAAAATAAAATATTACTTTGTAAAAACGAAATTGTTTATCTGTATAAAATCAGTACGAAGCCGTAATAATCTATGTTAATGTTCAGTTTTGTCATTCACTACTCTGTACGCTCTCTGCTCAAGCGCCTCTCACGCGAACGGACGCGTCTTCAGTACACTTCAATATAATTAAATATTCTAATTCATACTAAATACAACTGTTCATAAGAAGTCAGTGCTTTTATTACTCAGACTATCAGTACGCTGCGTGCGATCCAGCCGAGTCCGTCTGGTGGCCCATGAAACTCAGTAACAACGCTCAATCGACCGCCATATTCAACAATGTATATAACTGAAACTAAGTCGTTCTAGAAACGCGATAGCAGAAAATAGAAATAACATCGTCTATACTATAATATTATAAAGAGGAAAGATTTGTTTGTTTGTTTGTTTCGAATAGGCTCCGAAACTACTGGACCGATTTGAAAAATTCTTTTTCCATTAGAAGCCGACATTGTCCCTGACGAACATAGGCTACTTTTTTTAAAAAACAAAATATTTTATTTTTTTGGTTTCATGTGTGTTTTAATGTTTCCGAAGCGAAGCGAGGGCGGGTCGCTAGTGTAATAATAAAAATCAAACTCGCTTAATTATAATTTGCGTAATTACTGGTGGTAGGACCTCTTGTGAGTCCGCGCGGGTAGGTACCACCGCCCCGCCTATTTCTGCCGTGAAGCAGTGATGCGTTTCGGTTTGAATGGTGGGGCAGCCGTTGTAACTATTTTTTTTATTTTTTTATTACTTAGGTCGGTGGAGTTACTGGAGCCCATAGACATCTAAAACGTAAATGCGCCACCCACCTTGAGATATAAGTTTTAAGGCCTCAGTATAGTCACAACGGCCGCCCCACCCTTCAAACCGAAACGCATTACTGCTTCAAGGCAGAAATAGGAGCGTGGTGGTACCTACCTACCCGTGCGAAGTCACAAGAGGTCCTACCACCAGTGATTACGCAAATTATAATTTTACGGATTTGATTTTTATTACACGATGTTATTCCTTCACCGTGGAAGTAAATCGTGAACATTTGTTGAGTACGTAATTCATTAGAAAAATTGGTACCCGTCTGGGATTCGAACACAGGTGCATCGCTCAACACGAATGCACCGGACGTCTTATCTCTTAGGCCACGACGACTTCTCTCGACTCTTAGGCCACGACTACATATACTGAGACCTTAGAACTTATATCTCAACCAGTCCAGTAACCACTTATCACTGGGTGGACTGTGAGCTCGTCCACCCAATTAAGCATTAAAAATTTTTTTAAAATATTTCGGTTAATAGGTAAAGACTGAACTGTTTTGTTTAAGAATTCCATCCGAATAAATAAGCGATGTAGTTATAGAATATATTTTTTTTTTACATAAGGATAATTGCACTCTAGTTACTTATGTGCAACTTATACGCTACTTTAAGCGTTGATACGACCGATAAACCTACTTGTTGATTGGTTGTCATTAGGGTTCGTACACAGGGTGTCCCAGAAAGAATGGATAATCCTGAAACACCTCATAGTAGAGCTATTGGGGGCTCAAAATAAAAATAAAAAAAACTTCTTAGGTAGTTACCCTTAACGGTACCTTTAACGGTAGGCAGCGGCTTGGCTCTGCCCCTGGCATTGCTGAAATCCATGGGCGACGGTAACCACTCCCCATCAGGTGGGCCGTATGCTCGTCTGCCTACAGAGGCAATTAAAAAAAAACCCAAATTAAAAATAAAGAAAAAATACCATATTTCATGATTAAAATTAAGTTCAGATTAACTTTTACAAAAAATTACACTAGCTACTCATACGATTTCCTGCATATTCCTTAGTATAGTCCATGTAAAATATTATAACACCAAAAAGCCTATAGATTTCATTTATTTATAGCTGTCGTATATTCCAGAAACGCACCAGTATGGAAAATATCAACCTTTTTTTAAAAAAATACGTAATTTGGGTACTACCTGAGAATTTTTATTTTTTACTAGCTGACCTGGCAGACTTCGCAGTGCCTCAATCGATAAATAAAAGACCTAAACTTTTGTGTAAAACAAACTTAAAAAAAAAGGATACCGTCCGACGGGGGACACATCAAAGGAAAATCAAAATTGTTTGTTTTTATATAATTCCGAGCATTTTCATATTTTTTCACACTTTTAAACCTTCTCTGGACTTCCACGAATAATTCAAGACCAAAGTTAGCCAAATCGGTCCAGCCGTTCTCGAGTTTTAGCAAGACTAACGAACAGCAAACATTTCTATATATATAGATTTTATTTCCCCAATAGTTCTACTATGAGGTGTTTCAAGATTATCCATTCTGGGACACCCTGTATACCACAATGAGAACGTTGCTGTTCAAGTTAAGAAGTGAAGCTGTTCTCCAGTCACAGAGAAATTGCGTTTTTATCAGATTATGACTGAACAAACCAAGTAGCTTTGGAGTGGCATTGAATTTACGAGTTTTTTTTTAACTATCTCTCTTCCCAGCTATTTATCCCACATGGTGGTGGGGTCAGCTTTCCTCACTTTACTCCTCCACTTCGCTCTGTCTTCGATCATGCGTGTATTTATAACCGATTTCAATATAAAACAAAATCATACAAAACAAATCAGCCCTTTTTTCGTGATTAACAAAGCAAAGAAACAAACTGTTAGATTTTTTATAATATTTGTGTATTAATATTGATTTATTTAGTTACATCACCACAATATGCACCGTTTGTTATAGGTACATCAAACAGTCTGAGTATGTTCAAGAAAATATTGAATTATAGTGTGGAATATTTATTTTATTAATGTTAATGACTGTATCAATGTCATTATCAGACTTGGTTATTTAGTCTTTCTACGAGAACTGAACCCTAGCTATGCTAAATCAAGACTTATTAGGTTTGCCTTCCGATTCGAGGGTTTTCATTTTAGCCCTTTTCTCTCTCAAAATCTTTTTGATTGCCTCTAAGCGCGTTTTATATTTATTCAAAGCATTATCTTTCTCTGCTGTAACATCTACGCTTTCATTACCTCTGTTTCCATCATTAGGTCTTTTACTGAAGTACGAAAGCAGAATTCCATTGAACGCAATTCTGAATTTTTCTTTTATGAAACTGTAATAAATACAATTTAAATCACACGTTGGGCTGGTTTCGATAAAGGTTTCGTTAGATTTCTCAGTTTCTTCTTTTAGAAGATAGTTTTGATGCTGTTCAATATTTATATCCTTAAAAAAATTTCGTGATGAAATGTCTTCAGTCTGTTTGAACGCGCCAATCATTTTGGTCTTGTAGATATTAGATGTGATCTCCATTAATCCAGTCTTCAGGGCCATTTTTACAAATACAAGATGCTTATGGAATTGTTTCTATAGAAGTAGATATTGGTTGGCTTTGTTTACGTTTTTTTACATTTCCAAATTTCTCTTTGCTACATACATTTCATGGCATTTTGATATCATCATTTATTGACATCAAAATGAGTTTTGATAATCTCACACCAAGAAGAATATAGTGAATAGTACGGTATTATTTATTGCAAACATCGTTTTAAGACCTATTTCGACGAAACAGGTGGAATATTTCTTTAAATACTTTATTATTACGTCATTACGAGCATTGTCAAACTTCAAATTGAACACTAAATGAGAAAAATCCAAAAAATATGAATTCAATTAAAATCAGTGCGATTTGCTCGCGCTGCAATAATTATTTGCTACCAAAACAGATTGCCGGAATTAGTGACCTTAACAATCATCTTAATGTGAACTTGTGTAGAAGGTTTACAACTCCGTCTGGTATACCAGGATCTGGAGCAGGAAAGGGCGGAGGCAGCGGAGGATCTGTCAGGGAATCCGGCGGAGGCCTCGGCAAATACGGAGCAGCCCAAGAAGATAGTTACTTTTACGACAAACAGAAGGAGCAACTGGAAAAAATCAGAAAGAAATTGAAACTGAACCCTGAAATATCCCAGAAAGAAGACAAATAAGCTGAGAAATTAAGACAAAAAACACAAAAATAACCATATTTCAATACATATGCTTTCAATAAATTAAACGGCTTAACATCAAGAACTGTTTTTATATTAGCTTTAGTGAGACTAGCATTCAGTCCGAAGCCAGGTTCGACAAAGTAATTCCCTTAGCAATCTCACAGTGCAGAAAGACTTACGGTAGTACAGTACTTACTACTTCTAGTTTTGCAGCCAGCTTAAGGTGGAAAGAGTAAGATTTGAAAACGGTTATTCCTATACCACTTGTGTTCCGTTAGCGCTGCGCCATCACGTTTACGAATTCTTCTATGTCCTGCCATTTCCGCCGTTGTTTGTTTAGTAATTGCTCTAAATTCACCACGAAATACGCTAATTAGCAATACAATTAACATTCTCATCGGTGCGTATTCAATTTGTATGGCCGCAAATTAAGACCCGTGTCTAAATCAAATTTCCTGAAATGATTCTTATTTTTTTCACTATAAATAACCAATACTCTGCATTATTTGTACCTAGTACAGAAGTAGTTATGTTTTTTTAACAAAGAACTTTCTGGTCTTCGAAATGGAGTGCAAGGTATTTTGGTTGTTGATTATTCGTTGATTCTTTAATACTTACTTCAAATGAAGTAATTGTCAGCAGTTTTTTTACTGGTTGGTAGGACCTCTTGTGAGTCCGTGCGGGTAGGTACCGCCACCTATTTCTGTCGTGAAGCAGTAATCTGTTTCGGTTTGAAGGGTGGGGCAGCCATTACATATAATAAGCCCCTTACCCATCAGCAGAGTTTCTGCATCTCATTGCCTTCACAGTCCCAATTTTGCTTAATTTTCTGATGCCCGACCGTATTGTAAGCCCTTATAGATGGATCCACCCTGACCTACTACTTCTTTCTTATGTCAAGTCAACGTTTACGTTAAGACATCTCTATCTATAGAGACTCTATCTATAGACTCTTCCAAAAAAACCTTTACCAGTTTGTCCATAAATATGATAAGCTTTAATGTTAATTTGATTAGATTTGATTTGTATGTATATTATCAATTAATCAGTCAATATTAAATATCTGCTTAAAAACAAAAAAATACGTTTAAATATCTTATATGTACTGTTACTTAAATAACAGTTATTTTCATCAATTTTTTTCCTGTTGATATCGGTCAGGATATTAGAGCGGAAATGCAAAATTGTTGTTTAATATTGTCATGGGTTCTTCATACGTGTGCAAATTTTCAAGTCAATCCTCGATATTTTGAAGTCGATGAAAATGACATTAGAAATTTTCTCTACATACAAACAAACACACACACACGCCCAGCTAACAGGAGCGTGCTCAAAATGTTTTATTTTTATTTTTAATTACTCACTTTTGTTGACAGATATTGGAACTACTATTACTTCTGACGTGGTCATCAATCAGGTATGAGAATTCTATTCCTAATTGATAATTCTTGGGTCGAGTATTCTAAGTCTATTATGAAAAAATAAATAGGTAACCCAGCCTCGATATGGATACTTAACGTTCAATAATAATGTAGTGAAGATTAAAGATTATTATGATTATTATTAATATGGATGCAAAAAAAATAGAAAAAAATATGCTAAATTAGATAATGGTGCAAGTTGAGCCAGCAAAGGTACGAACGTCCTATCTGTTCCTGATACCAAGCTATTTGAGCTGCGATTTTGTGATTATACACTTGGATAAACATTTAATTAGATGCGTTGTAAATTTATAAGTCATCTCATATGTCCATCTAAAGTAAAACCAACCAAAAATATAAATTATATATCATGATAATTCACCGAAAATTATCGGGTTGAAGGATACGATAACGGAATCTGCCTTTTGTTCATTTTGCACCGAAGTTAATGATGCTGGTAGCATTTTATAACAATCTTCGTTCTTCGCTCTGACGTTAGATTGGGCCGGTTTTCTTGTTCACCTATTTGACTAAATGTCGTTTCGTATTAAATTTTTTGTGTTTTATCTTACAGCTTCTGCACGAAACCTGTCACTTCCAGTAAACATAGCCTGAAGAGTCTTATAGAAACTTCGGACGGAACATACGATTGTGTTTGTTCCAGAAAGAACCGAAATGCACCTTTAATACCGGAACTGCTTGAGTCATCGAACATTCAACGAATGGCAATTTACTTATATAAAGATTTGAATTCAAACCAAATTAAAATGTACATACCGGGTGTCGAAAAGCAAGAAATGATGCCAGATTACGCTCTTGAATCTGGTGATAAATTTGGAGACGTACCAATCGATTTGCGTATACAAGATTTGTTTGATAGTAATCTTAACATCGTAGTATTTCCCAATAAATTAGCTGTACATAAGTATGGAAATCCAATTCCATTTAATTATGCATTGACCGATATGCCATTGAAGTCGGCGCCACAAATAAGGAATCCAAAAAATTTCAATAAATATCTTACGTTTTTAAATGGGAAGACTGATGCGTTCCCAGGAACATTACAAGAACATCTGGACAGTACCAACGGGGATTCTGTTCCACTGTACGCGCATAATTTTAATAATCTCATCAGCCCAGTCCATTCTCAGTATAATCCCAATAAAAATCCAGATAAAACAAAGGAGTACGATGATTTCAGAATATTTGAGAAATGGATGGACCAGCAACTGGGACCCTTGATGGCGAACCAAGATACAAAACTACTAAAGAACTACTTATTTGGTATGCTAGTAAAACGTGGTATAAATATAGCAGATAAAGACGCTTCAAAGGATCCAAATGAAATAGCCTTAGATCTTTCGAATGTTAAAACGCATTATGCCTTGATCGATAACGCATTGATGTATAACGACACAAATAATATAAGAATCAATATACCTAATCCACATTTCGAAGCCCTGGTTGTTTCTTTGAAACACCCTCCAAGAATTCTTGGGTACGTGCCCATAGATACATCGAACGGTAAAAGATTTAAATCTAAAAATCACGATTCAAAGTTTCTGGAAACGTTCGGGGTTCAATACGATTTCGGCTCTTTGAATGGAATGAAGAACTGTGTTGATGGTCAATGTGAAACGGTTCCAGTCCAAAAAAATCTACAGTTGAATTTAGATCACGATGATGACAATAAAGCCGAGAAAAGTATCGTCCATAAAAATATTGGTGGATCGTTAAGGAAATCGGATAATTACAACAATCAAGTATTCAGGCTATTAACGAAATCCGAACCTAATTTCGATACGTCAGAAGAAGGAGAATTTGAAAAGAAACAATCAATTGAGAATAAATCTCCTAAGTTGATGAAGACTTTGGTAAAATATATAATCGGTAAAGTTAACGAAGAGGCTCCGGAGGATGATGGAACAGATTCTTCTCATGAAGACGGGCCGGCTGTGAGAATCGTTGGGGGGTCAGCAGCTACAGGCAGTGGTACTCCATTGAGCAGTAGAGGTCGATCAGGTCTACCGTAATCACGATAAACGAAATGACATCGTATTTAGGTTAATGACAATGGCTAATTTTCTTACGGACTCTGATTATGTATTAATTTTAATAAATTATTGGGTTTGGCCGCATCTTTCTTTTCGATTTTTATTGCATCGACGAAACTTCTTGAATTTTCTTCTTAATTTGTCTTAACAGAACTACTACTATCTACTGTCTAATAAGGACTGTTCTTATGCAAAAAAAAGTAAATGCCAATAACTATTTTTATAAACAGCGATATTTAAATGACATTAGCTATTCTTCTATTTATCTAGCCACCATCATTATTACGGGTCTGTAAAATAATAATATAACAGGTGAAGAACAGGAAAACAATATGATTTCAAACAGTGACATCTATATTCGTTAATTTAATTTAATAAAAATAATACAGCTACTCAGTACTAGATGCCATTACACTTTGTAATTTAGCGCCCTCTTCTGGAGTTATGTTCGTATCAAAAATTCCAAATCTCAAACTTCTCTAACCAAATTCTTTTTAGTTACGTTTTAATTTCATAGATGGCAGTTGAAAGCCTGTTTGGTAGTTTTCTAAATATATACGCTAGATGTCACTAAAATAAATTAATTAAAAAAAATTTGTTGAAACAATGCAAGCTTTTTAATTATGTATATATATATATCTAAATTACACGACAAAATCGAAATGTACCTAACGATTTGTAAACGTGCAAAATTTATGTCATGTTAAGTTTACCTTGTGCATTACACACTATCAAAACATAATGCAAGTCTAAGTCATTGCAATGCACAGTGCCATCTGTTGGAAAACAACGCAATGAGAATTGTGATTGTTGTTACATTTCAAGACTCAAGTTCAACAAGCTTAAGTAACTCGCTAGACGCTCGCAGTCACTGACTCACTGAACTGTTTGATACGGACCGACTAGTTAGTTGAATCCTGATTGCCGTGTTCGCGGTTGCTTTTGCGCTAAAAATATCTCCCGCGATTCAGATAACTTTAAAGTATTCAACTACCACTTTTTTCAATGAGAATAACTTAAACCTTATTGTGTTGTTAGTATTACGATTACCTCGACTCAAAACAGCATGTTCGAAAAATAAAACAGCAACTTTAACGTGAAAAACGCTTTGTTTATAAAATTTCGCGGTAATTCTAGTGTTTGTGAATGGTGTACCTATCTCAGATGTTGTGGGTATAAAAGGATGTTGTCATTATCGATGTGTTTAAGCAACAATTCTGAAGTTTAATGGAATTCTGTGAACGGTAAGTCATTTTTAAGATTAAGATATCGATTTTTTTTTAAATATTTTTTTCAATTAATGAAACTTTCAATTTGTCACTTGTAAAACAATTTAATTGTTCATTCGTCTTTTTGACTCATTATGATAAAGAGTTATCAGTTTTTTTTTAATTGTCATAGAAGTTAATTCGAGTCGGTATTACGTAGCTGTAACGACATATTATTATGAATTATGGGACTAATAAAATAAGATAACTCATTAAGAATAAGCCCATTATTCCCTTATATGTATAAATCTCTTGTCGCAGTATTTGTAATGGTACTGTAGAACTATCACTAGCATTAATTTTTCTAAATGCCATAATGTTTTGTTGGTACATAACGTGACAGGAATACGCGGCTGACAACCAAATAAAATAAAAATAAATTAGCAAACGCGCTAAATGTATTGCCGTTTCCTCAATCAATAAAATATTATGTACTAAAAATATTTTTTTATGATGAACATTAATGATTCGCAAAGTATATGAGGTCGGTCGCTCGAAATTGTTTAAATATGACGAAACAAAACTGTTCAAAACATTTCACGGTATTAAGTTTATAGCAGGCGGCGACTTGAATATGTCCCTGGCATTGAATTTATGATTAATTACCTTCAGTTGGGTCTTATGTTATGATACTTATATGTAAAAAGTTTACTGACTTAGAGAAAAAATCCCATTAAGTTTACAACATTGATTAAGCTACTGCATTATTTTCATCACATTCTAATTTGTCAATGAATGAAACAAACATTGACAAAGTTCTGAATTTGCAATCGAGGTGACGGACAGCCGCTGCTTGCATTGCTGCAAGATATGGCATGTGTCTCCAGAAAACCGGTATATATGGTGAAACGTTGCTTGGTCATTCAGTCTGCGGCGAAGAGATTGCAGTGCAGCATCACTAGTACTTACAAACCAATGACTAATTCGAAACAACTTAAATGCCGATCAGAGGCCTATCGTTCGCAAGGTTTGCAGTCAGACAGCGAGCTACGGTTTCATGTCGCCGAAAAAAGCCTTTACGAAAAAACATATTGTTATGCAAATTTAAAAATCCACTAGAAACGAGACACAATTGTTGGCCCAATCTTGTAGGGTAATTGTAAGGAGCTAATGAGAAAGAGTATTTTGTGACTGTCATTCTCTATTTCATTTAATTTTGTTCGATCGCGTCGGTGGCTTTTTTTTGCCTACCTAAGCTGATGGTCTAGAGAGACCATATCAGCGTCACTCTGCTAGTAGCTCACGGGACTCTAACCTGAAGACGTTGCTAACACGAACCTTAGCAAGAGCCGTGCTTCGCAGAATCTACCACAGGATCGGAAACACGACCCACTGCAAAGATCCGGCGAGAAACTCAGTGGGCTCGCGTCGGTGGCTTTGTGTTTAGTAATAGGCTTACTTTTATGTTAAAGTTTCCTGATTCGTTCGTAAACCTTTATATTTTACTCCGCTTGCAAATCAAACTCTGTCTGTCTGACCTTACCTGGTGGCGAAGGTCACGCATGACTCGTGATACTTGACCTACCTCGAAAAGGGTATTTTTTGCCGAAGAGTGTTTGTTGATGGGGGGCAGACATTGAATATCCATATTTCAGATTTAGACAGCTATTGAATGTTACTGTTGCCGTCTCTTTTCCGCAAAGCGAGCGTTAGCACATACTTTGTACGGCACACGTGAACATTGACGTCATTGTTTAGTACCTTATATCTTTCTCGTTACCGTACGTATGTTATTTATATCTGCGTTTATAGGCTGATAGGAGTCGTGAAGACATTCCCTCCCTCCGAAATCTGTTTGTCGTTAAAATTAGTCTGTAAAATTTTCCTTTTGTGTTGTCAAAATATATTATAATACCAAATATTTTCCTCGTACCTACCATTGTTCTGCGTCTAGTTGTTACATTGAAATGCAAATGTGTTATTATACGAGCATTTGGAAATTTGTATAGTATTTTGTTTGTTTATTTAACATATTATATCCTTTCAAGTTTAGATGCGACAAAAATCGTCGTGGCCTAACGGATAAGACGTCCGGTGCATCGTGTTGAGCGATGCACCGGTGTTCGAATCTCAGGCGGGTACCAATTTTTCTAATGAAATACGTACTCAACAAATATTCACGATTGACTTCCACGGTGAAGAAATAACATCGTGTAATAAAAATGAAACCCACAAAATTATAATTTGCGTAATTACTGGTGGTAGGACCTCTTGTGAGTCCGCATGGGTGGGTACCACCACCGTGCCTATTTCTGCCGTGAAGCAGTAATGCGTTTCGGTTTGAAGGGTGGGGCAGCCGTTGTAACTATACTTGAGACCTTAGAACTCATATCTCATGGTGGGTAGCGCATTTACGTTGTGGATGTCTATGGGCTCCAGTAACCACTTAACACCAGATAGGCTGTGAGCTCGTCCACCCATCTAAGCAATAAAAAATAATAAAAAAATCGTTCATCGCAAATTATCAATAGTGATATCATAATATATTTGGAGTGCAATTTTAGCATATTCGCAAGGCGATTTATTTCAATTTACATACAATTTACATCAATGAACTGATGCAATAAAAAATCGCGACTGAAGTCAGAGATAATCGATAGCCTTGAAAAAATCTTGATTTTGTGGTTTTGATGTTGTGTTTTATCGAAATGTACACACGTCTTCAGTTAAGCGCATAAACTAATCATTACTAAATAATTAACCAAAATATTTTATATGGCGCGTTGTAGACTTTCGTTACCTTTAAATATAAACGAAAAAAAAAAAACTTCCGGTAATCATGGCAAAGGAGTTATAAAACATAAAGTCTACCACCAATTTAGTTTGCCGTGAAACTGCATGGACACTTTTTTCACTGGTGGTAGGACCTCTTGGGAGTCCGCACGGGTAGGTACCACCACCCCACCTATTTTCGCCGTGAAGCAGTAATGCGTTTCGGTTCGAAGGGTGGGGTAGCCGTTGTAACTATACTGAGACCTTAGAACTTATATCTCAAGGTGGGTGGCGCATTTACGTTGTAGATGTCTATGGGCTCCAGTAACCACTTAACACCAGGTGCACCAGGTGGGCTGTGAGCTCGTCCATCCATCTAAGCAATAAAAAAAAATAAAAAAAATCACCACCATCTTTGATATTTCAGTCGTGAAGCAGTCATGCGATTTAGAGGGTGGGACAATACTCACGTCTCGAGGTCAATGGTGACATTCACCTTGTCTGATATCTATGGGTGCCTGTAACAAGTTAACACCAGCTTAGTCGTAAAATGCCAATCTGGCCAATCAGCATCTATTTAGAAATCAGAATTATTTACGCAAGCCCTGCATCGCGGTTAGTAACTAGAACAATATTGTGTAACATACGGAAGTCATTATAAGATACCAGAGCGGAAGTCAAAGTGTCTGAGAGTTTATAAAAAAAAAACGGTCAGTATTAGAATGCAAATACTTAATTTGAAAAAAAACGTCAGTGACAATATAGTCCGCGCAACGGATAGCCCGTGTAATTGACAGTGTCAATGCTGTAATCGAACATGTAAAGACACTGAGACGGTCATGACGGAATTTTAATGTTCGCTTTAGCGTTTGGGTATGGTATTCCAATGCTCTAAGTAATACACCTCATCCTTGTTCTAAACTTACAACTTTGTTAGACCCTGGTTACCTTAATTTTTACTGGTGGTAGGAACTCTAGTGAATCCGCACGGGTAGGTATCACCACCCAGCCTATTTCTGCCGTGAAGCAGTAATGCGTTTCGGCTTGAGGGTGGAGCAGCCGTTGTAACTATACTGAGACCTTAGAACTTATATCTCAAGGTGGGTGGCGGATTTACGTTGTAGATGTCTATGGGCTCCGGTAACCGCTTAACATCAGGTGGGCCATGAACTCGTCCACTAACCTAAGCAATAAACAAAAGACCCACATCCATCTAGCATCAGATCCAATTCTTCAGTATAAATATAGCCTAGTATAATTCTCCAACTGTTAGCAGTTTTAAAACTGAATACCTAACGGTTTTCTGGAAGTCATGTTACGCACGTAATGAGTGCTCATAATTGCTCACGTTGCTAGCTAACTGTTAACAATGTACTGTAATCTGTTTACATACACTTCTTACTTCTAGAATTTTTTTGTTCTTGCTTTGGTGGTTGGACGAGCTCACGGCCCACCTGGTGTTAAGTGGTTACCGGAGCCCCTAGACATCTACAACGTAAATGCCGCCACCTACCTTGAGATATAAGTTCTATGGTCTCAGTATAATTACAACGGCTGCCCCACCCTTCAAACCGAAACGCATTGCTGCTTCACGGCAGAAATAGGTGGTGGTACCTACCCGTGCGGACTCACAAGACGTCCTACCACCAGTAACAATGAGTTACAGACTTACACAATTTTATTACTTCTTTCACGTACTATATTTTCTTTGATTTTAATTATGTATATTCGTTCATGTGTTTTCAATAGAATTTTCCGGAATAAATCGCTGAATGTCATGTACTTAATGCATTAAAAAGTTAATAAAAGAATATAATATATGAATCGAAATCGGAATGAACTTATTAAGATGAAGTTATTTGTTAAGTAAATTTATTAATATATTCCCCTTAATACTGTATAATCTATTATATGTATGTATAAGTATATGATTTTGTATATATATGTTTTTTTGTATGTATTCGTAACTTAACATAAATTTCATTGCACCTACCACTATTTTTTCAGAGTCGAACTGACTAAAACCTCCTGTCGCTCAACAACCAACGTCCAAACCTCGCATGAGACAGAACTCATGACAAGGCAAAGGGGGGAAAGTGAAGCGTTTAGTGCGGAGCACATCTCTCCCATCACCCTCCCCCTCGGGACGCCGGACTGGCGGTCGTCGGCGCCACGACCACCAGCCCTCTCGGTCGGCAGACTGTTCGAAGCCCGCCTAGATGGCGCCGGTTAGAGTGGGTTACCCTACGGAATACCCCGCTGGG